TAGACGGGACGGGGGGGGGGGGAGGAGAGGAATAACAGAATTAGGTCTGTACTTAGTTTTTGTAAATGAGATAAACCCTTTTATTTTGACAAGAGGTCTGGGTTGCAGAAATGACTAGCCATCTTTCTGCATATGAACTGAACATTTTACATTGCTAAGGAGGATCAAGAAAAAATTGAGAACTAGGCTTATTTTAGATGTCTCCTTACAGGAATTGGAAGTCTGAAATGGAGATATGTTCTTAGCCAGATTTATGGGCTCCTCTCAACCAGGGCATCTACAATGTTAAATACTAATGACTGACGGATACTGTTTTAACATTACCCAAAAAGTAATTTTGTATTTTTTCTTTAAAAATGTCTTGGGAATAATTCTTAGTATTCACTCAATGCTCTTATATCTTCAAAGCACTTTACCATAACTAGTCTTAAACCCCACTCCCTGCTGCCAATGTTTTAATTTTATCCATCTTTGATAAAGCATGTGTGATGAAGAGTTACACTAATCACAGAAGGCTAATCAGATGTATTAAAATAAGGCTAACAGCTAAAAACAACTATTTTAAAAAACATTTTATACTATGTCAGTCTTCACATTGTGTATGCATGGGCTTGCATCCAGAAACGTCCCTATCAACTGAAGATCTGTGAGCTAAATGGATATCTAAACAAGATTTTTAGCTTTGAAAAAACTATGCCTGCAAGATCAGTAAAGATGTTCAGTAAGACAGTTACTTGATGATTGCATTGTGCTTTGGAAGTGCTATAATGAGATTTAAAAAAAAAAAAAAAAGGGCTTATCTTTAACAGCTATATTACAATAAGCAAAATTAGTCTGAGAAAAAAAACAAAAGCCAAATCCTATTTTTTTTAACTTAAATGATCCACATACCTTTTTTTGAGCAGCTTCCTTCTTTTTCTTGTCTTCTTTTCTCTTTTTCCTTTCTTCCATCAACTGTTCTTCCTCTTCTTGCACTAAATCCCTGAACCACACAGTTTGTAATTAACTCTCCCAAAATGCATTCAGTAGACATTTCTATTCCTTCATTTATACTCTTTTTATAAATGATCTTAAAGAGATATGGGAATTTTATCCCTAATTTGTTGGCTGCATGAAATTTCTAAAGGGATCAGTTAGTCTAAATCAAGATAATATATACTGTCACTCTACATCACAAGTGGTAAACTGTTTTATTATGGTGTGTATTTTAATAGGCCTATTTTCAATATGCAACATCCAGGAGCAGAGATCCTTCCTCTACACCCCTGAAATTAAGCCACCACCACCAAAAACCATGTGCAGTACCATTCTATACATGGTACCTTCTTTCTACCAAAGGACATAATTAAGGCTTATTCTTTTTAAGTTTACTTTAATTCACAAATCAGTTAGTTCTAAAGGGTTGGCATGATTCCAATACTATTTAATCTTTACCTTCTGCTGTGAATTAGCTCTGAAACTGAACTTTTACATGTCAAATTTGCCCCATCTTCTTTCAGACATAACCAGCTTCCGCAGACAAAATGTTAAAATAGCAGCATAGTTTAATAGAGTTGGAGCCAGGAAATTCTTACATAAATTTCAATTCATCCTTACATACTTTATGCAACACAATGTTCACCACCAATGCAGCTGTGCAGCCATATGATGTATTCTATTCTCACTTTCTAGGGAGCTTTAAAAGCACTCCATTCTTGCAGTTAGAATGGAATTTAGTCCTTTGAACAAGAACGGGAACATATGAATAGAAAAGAAAGCTGAAATTGAAGAGCAGTGAAGATGCGAGTACTCCTATGGACTATGCAGCAAGAAATGGTAAGATCGTAACAAAGACAAGCAGTAAGGTTTAAAGTAAACTGCAGGCTAAAGGAAGTTTATTAAGGTAATAAGAACGCGAGAGTGGACATATTGGTTAGATTGGTGGTCCATCTAGCCCTGTATCTTGTCTCTGACAGCGGCCAGTGCCAGATGCTTCAGAGGGAATGAACAGAACATGGACATTTTAAGTGATCCATCCCTAATGCCCAGTCCCAGCTTCTGACAGTTGGAGATTTAGGGACACCTGGAGCATGGGATTGTCTCCCTGACATAACCACCATGGATGGACCTATTCTCCGTGAACTTATTTAATTCTTTTTTGAATCCTGTTATGTTTTTCACCTTAACATCCCCTGACAATACGTTCCACAGGCTGACTGTGGTTGTGTGAGGAAGTACTTCCTTATGTTTGTTTTAAACCTGCTGCCTATTAATTTAATTGGGGGACACCTGGTTCTTGTGTTATGAGAAGGAGTAAATAACAGTTCCCTAATTCACTTTCTCCACACCAATCATGATTTTATAGACCCCCATCTTATCCTCTCAGTCATCTCTTTTCTAGCTGAACAGTTCCAAGTCTTTTTAATCTAATCTATTCTTGCATGGAAGCTGTTCCATCCGCCTAATCATTTTCGTTGCCTCTCTGTACCTTTCCCAACTCTAATATATCTTTTTTGTAATGTGACAACCAGAACTGTATGCAATATTCAAGTTGTGTGTTTATCATAGATTTAAATAGTGGCATTAGGATATTTTCTGTTTTATATATATCCCAGGTCTAATGATTCCTAACATTGTTAGCTTTTTTGCTTGCCACTGCACACTGAGCAGATGTTTTCAGAGAACTATTCATGATGATTCTAAGATTGCTTTCTTAAGTGGTAACAGCTAATTTAGAACCCATCATTTTGTATGTATAATTGGGATGGTTTTTTCCAGTGTTCATTACTTTGGACTTAATACTGAATTTCATCTGCAATTTTGTTGCCCAGTCACCCAGTTCTGAGAGATCCCGTTGTGACTCTCTGCAGTCAGCTTCATACTTAACTAGCTTGAGTAATTTTGTACTGTCTGCAAACTTTGCCACCTTACTATTCACCCCCTTTTCCAGATCATCTATGAATATGTTAACAGCACAGGTCTGAGTAGAGGGTCTTGGGAGACCCCACTATTTACCTCTTTCCATTGAGGAAAAACGTTTGAAGAGATAGTCTAGAGTAGACAACAAAGTTAGGTCAACGTAAGTCACCTTGGGTCAACCTATTTGTGCACATGTCTACACTCAAATTAGTCTCCAGTCAACTTAAGCACCCTGTTACAGCAACACACTAATACCACTTTCCCAAATGGTGCAGAGATATGGTTGACCTACAGAGGTTGATGCAATGTAAGTATGGACACTGCATGACCTGCAGTCATGACCAGCATGATCACACTCTTCCAGCAGCTGTTCCATAATGTCCCATTTCTTGCAACAAGTGACCATTGTGGTCACAGTTGTAAACTCCATTGCCTAAGGGACACAGAGACCAGAAGCCACCACCCCATTTAAGCCCCCCCCCTTAAGTTTTTGAAATGCGCTCAAGAAGGGGGAGCTGCTAGGTGTGCTCACCAAGGTGGGTAGTCAAGAAAAGGCAACTGCCCAAGCAACAATGCTAGTTCCATCCACTAGACACATTTCTGCCTGGAGTAGACAGGAGATATTGGATCTCCTGGATCGGTAGGGAGACGATGCTGTGCAAGTAAAGCTATGGACCCGCCATAGAAATATGGCGGATGAAGAGGAAGGGACCTTGAGTAAGTGTGTGTATACATTTTTCCTTACAAATTTTAAATTTAAAGATGGCACCTGCCTTGTACTCAAATTAGCCAGACACAGGTATTGACTTTTCATTGTTTCACTCCTACAAGAAGAGATTGTGGTACCACCACCAGAGGTAGAATTGGTATCTGCTTTCCATTCCCCTGTTGGGTCATGCGGGGGAGAGGACAGAGGGGATGTGGAGTGATGAGTTTGCCAGGCACCATTGCAGTAATTAGGGTAGCAGCATATGGGCAGATGCAGCTTTTGGACAGCAGCAGCAGCTGAGCTCTTTGTGCCTTTGTTACCATCAGGAATGAGACATCAGCTAAAACCACTGCTGCCTGTGGAAAATAGGGCTGATATTCAGTGCCATTGCCCTCTATTCGTACCCTGGAATAGGGACTGAAATGTTATTGTTTTATGCAATCAACATTACTTCCCTCCACCTGGCCCCTGGCGGGCCATCCTCACTATGGCTGGGGCGGGAGAGCCATGCTGTACAGAGGCACTCCAAAGCTGAAGTGCAATAAGCATGTCTTATTAAGAGTTTTTAATGGGAATAAGGGACAGGAGCTTTGAAATTATCTTTCCCTTTGTGTTGTGACTATAACTCCAATGCTGCATCCGTCTGTTTTTAGCAGTAGCTGCTTTTGTGCCCTTCAGGGGTGCCGCTTCTACATTTGCAGAGTGCCAGACCCTGATGAAGATGACTAGAGAGGACATGTTCAGTGAGATCCTGCAAGCCAATGCTGCATCAGACTGCAAAGGGCCTGTAGCGCCAACATGGCCGATGGCATGGAGAAGGAAAGAGCAGGCAGGAGAAAGGCCCAGTAGTCCCCCTAGGAAAAGGGGAGGAAGGTGCGGCAGGCCATTATGAATCTTCTCAGGCAACAAACCTAAACACCGCACATCCTGGTTGACCTACAGGCCCAAAAATTCCAGACTCCCCAACCTTTGCATTTCTTAAACTCTGTTAGCAGCTCCCTATCTGGCCCCCACCCCACCCCCCTGGCCACAACATACCTACCACACAGGATGCATCATGAACCCTATCACTTCACACCAGGGGACAGCAAGTAAAAACAGCTTCACATACACTGATCAATGAGAACCACAGTCGGTGTTTGTGTAGTCACAATGACCTACATTTGTGCCCGGAAAATGGACAGAAATGTTTGCTGTGTTTCCAATTTTAAAGTTCTGTTAGAAGTTTGTATTGCATTGCCTGTTTTTGGTACATGGGTTTTGTGCACTGTTTTTGTTTATCAATAAATTTCTATTTTTGAAGAATAAAATCTTTATTAGTTCACAACAAATACTGCAGAATGCATAGCAGGACTCAAAGCACACAGTGCTTGTAAACGTACAGCACCACAGAACGCATAGATTCAGAAAAACAGTACATTTATAACTGACAGCAAGCACTACACCATTCCTAGCAGCACCCAAAGCTTCAGGCCCAGATAATAGTCCATTACAAAATGGTGAGCCACAGTGTTCTTTCAAGTGTTCTTTCAAAAGCCTCCTTCAACCACACAGCTCCCTGTTGAGCTCTTCTAATGGCCTTTGTGTCTGGCTGTTCAAAGTCAGCCGACACTGCTTCACCTCTTCCCTGGCAGCAGTTTTCCCCTTTGCCTCACAGACAGGGCCGGCTCCAGGCACCAGCTTCTCAAGCAGATGCTTGGGGCGGCCGCTCCGGAGAGGGGCGGCATGTCCAGGTATTCGGCGGCAATTCAGCGGACGGTCCCTCACTCCGCCTGGGAGCGAAGGACCTCCCGCTGAATTGCCGCCGCAGATCGCGATCGCGGCTTTTTGTTTTGTTTTGTTTTGGCTGCTTGGGGCGGCCAAAACCCTGGAGCCGGCCCTGCTCACCGATACTATGCAGGACACCACAGGCAGCTATAACCAGTCAAGTGAGTAACCACCACCAGCATCCCTTCGATCTACCAAAAGAATATTCAACTGTCATTCTGCACATGTGGAGCCAGTCGTTTAACCTCTTTTTGGTGCTGTCAAGGTGGCCAGTGTACCGCTTCATAAGCCAGTGGAACCGGGGGTAAACTTGGTCCCTCCAGAATCACCATTTGCATTTCAATATTCAGTCAGAAAAAAAAATGTTGCAGCTTTCTGAAAAGTCCTGTATTCTTAAGATGCAGGTGGCACATACCTTCCCTGACCAGCCCACACCAATATTGGGGAAGAGTCCCCAGGGATTCACCAATGTTTTCATAACCACAGAAGAGAAGCCCTTTCTGCTGATGTACTTAATGGCAAGGTGGGCTAGCGTCAAAAAAGGATGTGCAAACCGTCTATTGCCCCATTGCAGTTCGGGAACCCCATTGTTGCAAACACAAGTACTATGTCCTGCACACTGTCCAGAATCAAAGTCCTGCATAGCAGGAGCTGATTAATGAACCTACACACATGCATAACAGCCCCACTGTGGATTTTCCAATTCCAAAATGATTTCACACTGACAGTAGCAATCTGGCATCTCAAGCTTACACAACATGATAGCCACTCACTTCCCCACTGTCAACACAGCTCTCATTGTGGTGCTGTTACACTAGAGGGCTGGGATGAGCTCAGCACACAGATCCAGGAATGAGGCCTTTCAAACCCAAAAGTTCTACAGCCATTGCTCGACATCTCAAACCTGCATTACGATGTGATTCCACTAGTCAGTGCTTGTTTTTCGCTCCAAAAAGCGGTGCTCTACCATCTGCAGCTGCTGTGTGAATGTCGGCAACAACCTTGAATGGCCTCTCAGCAAACTGTCCTCAAAGAAATCATCATGTCCCTCTGTTGTTGTGGTACTTCCTATGGGTCAATCATGCATCCTGTATTTGTAACATTCATGAGAATAGCACGGAGCTCTGAGGGCTCCATGCTTCTGTCAAGAAAAGGGACAGGGAAAAAAGTGTTCCACAGGTTTATGGGATTTAAAAAGAAGGCAGGGAAAATTATGGGATATGGATGGCATCACGGGATGGAGAAAGTTACATGCTGGGAACCTGATACCTAGCTCCCAGAGATCCATGTGAGAGTCACTGTAAGAAGGTCTCAAAAGGCACTGAAGTGTGTAGTGTAGACATAGCTGAAGTGACTAAGTGGCTGGTATGAAGAGGAATTGCAGAAGGACAAGACTGCCGGAGTAGGCAGAAGAGAAAGTGAATATAAGTGAAGGGTGCAGCAAGTCCAGGATAGTCTGGAGTGTTCTTGAGCATATGAGTTAGATAGCCCTGGCGACAGGAATCTGCTTGTCTTCAGCAGTAGCACTGTAATCACGATGGCTCACATTAAACACACACACACACACACACACACACACACACACACACACACACAGAGAGAGAGAGTAACTTAGAAAGCACAGATACGACCTAACAAAGTAAAAAGGAAACAGCGGACAG